TTAACTATTATTAACTTATAAGCAGGGAAAACCTCTCTCCATAATATAAAGGATGCCAGTACCACAAAGAATCCAGAAGTGGCCTTATAACAAGCTAGAAAAAGCATGGTATGAATTATGTCTGTTACCTGTCATGCTTAAAGACTGCTACTCTGACCTGAGGTTGTTTATACACTTTGGAGCTCTCTCTCCATCAGTGAGTTTCAACAGTTTTAACAAGTCAGTAAATGCTATGAGTTCAGCTATGTCATGTCTAGACAGGCAAGTCCCATTAATTCTGACAACAGCACTTTATTGAGAGGCAAATTTGGGGATGAAGAGTTTGTGTGGGATACTAAGAGTATAAACCTTGTATGACTCTTAACTCACCTGGTAATCATTCCTCTTGATATTTGGGACATCCATGTTATGAGTGGATGGGCAAATATCTTCATATTTTTTACCAGTGAAGATATCAATACCAACCAAATGGACCTATAAGAATAGAAAAATCACTTCAGTTAACGCTGGTCCTAGGGAAGCAAGATGTTATTGCTGGTTCTACTCAGTTTCCTATGAGATCATGTGCAATCCCAGATTGTGCCTCAACCCTTTGCTTGTGGTATGAAAACATCCCTCACATCAAGAGGGGGCCTCTCACTCCCTCCCACAGCACACTACAGAAACCCTGCATGAGAGCAAGCCCAGCCACTGTTATCTTCCACTGCCTTCTGTGGATTTACAGCAGCAAGTTAAGAGTTCACAGTGGTTAAGAACATGTTTATTTCCAGATCTAGCTGTTCAAACAAACGGCCAGTTAAGGGGAAAATAGGTGGTCATGCACAGAGATCATAGCAGCTCCCACCTCCCTTTATGCCAGCTGCACTGCTTGCTGCAGCTAGAGCTTAGATGACCAGTTTAACCAGTTCTTTTCACGTCCTTTGACGTCCTTTCCTTCTAACAGCTGTTTCTGTATTTAAGAAATTTGGAACCATCTATTAAAACAAGCCATAAAAAAAGAGGAAGGATAAAGAAAAAAACTAGAAAGAGCTTGGACAAACCCAAATACTCTACTCCCCTGCACATATCGCACAAGGCTGTGGAAACTTACGAATCTCTGGGCTTGTAACAGATCTGTCTTTAAACTCTGATACACACACCCTAAAGTGTGGCTGAATGAATGAATGAATGGTGATTTCAGCCCTGCTCCAAGCTCTGGACAGCTGCATGAGCCAACTGCTCGGGCAGCAGGGCTGCAGCCCCAGACAGCGAGTGAGAACGGGACACGGGCACTCCTCTCTCAGGGCTGGAATAAAGGAAGAAGCTGCGAGGCAAAGGCGGCAGAAGAGGGCCAGAGCAGGCCCTGAGAGTAACGCGTGTCCGCCGAGCTATGGATTATGTAACACAGCACGGGCCCTCCTGCTCTAACACCGCAATTGTAAAAGTCTGCCGGCACGGGCAGACACAGAAGTGCTCTGGTGGGTAGCGGCAGCACAACCCAACCACGCCCTAGTGATTTCATCAGCCCCCCTTCCAGAACTTACTCTACCCCCACTACAGAAACTGTGTCCCTATGAGCGTTAAAAAATTTTTTTTAAGCGTTAACGAGTTAAAGTTGGGAGAAAAAAACCAATCCCCCCGTCCTCAATCCTTCCTGCTTTACAGGACCGAAACCTCTTGAGCCAGCTCTGGAGTGATGAGACACCGTGCGAGAACGGCNAATAACTTTATTAGTGATGCTTAAAATTGGTGAAATTTTGTGGGGTTTGTTGCTCTTTTCTTAATGGAAGACAGTGAGAGTTTTGCTGCAGCAAAAGTGATAAAAGACTGGCAGCGCAGAAAAATAATATCTCTGGATGCTCACACATAAATAGCCTACGTGGTGCTGCTACTGCTGCTCTGGCAACAGCCACTCATGCTTAAAATCTGCTTCTTATTTGACAGACATCAGAATTTCACATGTGTGGGATGTCTCTCATAAACTGATTTTATTTGGAAGACAGCAGAGAAACCATTTATTGAGAAATGAAGAGGGAAACTATTAAAAAGGGAAGAACATATATTTTATTTATATCAATTTATAAAATATATTTATGTAAGTATCTCAGCTGTATTAAAGCCCTGTAAGAATTATGGTGCCTGCTGAGCCCTGAGCTGGCAGGTGCTGGCCTTGGCCCATCTGCTGTGCTACCAGTGCAATTGGTGATTTGTAATTGTTGGAACCCTGGTTAATGGGAATTTTGGACTTTCTGTGCTGACAGGCACTGACCCCCAAGAGAACAATGCATTTGACCTGAGGCCATGAAGAAAATTTGAGTGAATTTTCACTTCTTGCCATTACCTTCACATAAATTCACAGGAGGTGGTACTTTTAGTCACAAGCATTTGTACCAATATGATTAAAAATTGATTTAACTGTCCTACACACGTACTGGGCAAAGGGCTCAGTTTTTTATTACTGGGACTTTCACTGGTGCCAACTGAACAGCTGATTCCTGGCAGTGCAAGGAAAACTGCAAACCAAACAATTCCTGTGCTGTTCTCTAATCAGAACTCCACAAAAAATACCAGCAAACCAACCATGCTCTGTCCAACAGGGCACAAAACCTTTATTCACCAATAAGTTAAAGCGTTCTCATAAATAGATGTTGTAGTTTTTTGTACTGTGCAGCGAGGATGAAGCTGGGCTGGCTCACTCCTCGGACTCGGAGCCCTCCTCGTCCTGGCTGATCTGGAAGTAGCGCAGCTCGTACGTCTCCTTGTCGGACGCCACCACGCGCAGCCAGTCCCGCAGGTTGTTCTTCTTCAGGTACTTCTTGGTCAGGTACTTCAGGTACCTGAAAGCACCAATTTCACCTTAGAAGCTTCTCAATGGACACACCCCTGCTGCTGTCTGCACTCCACCCACAACAACGTCCTGAGCGGGCAGTACCACAGAATTATACCCAGAAATATGAAAATTTCTCATGCAGCAGGCAATAAAAGCATATTTTCACTACAGATATGCAGGAATTTATTATTCATTTGACTAAATGAATANCCGCGGGTGCTTGAGAGCCGCTTGGGTGCGGCGGAGCGAGTTAGAACAACTCTGGGGAAAATGTGTGTCCCCAGAGTGTCCTCAAAATGTCCCCAAAGCCGTGTGAGCCATGTGTGACTGTGCACGCAAAACTCCTTTGTCTGCCTCGTATGCCCGCACTCAGAGTAATCAGAAATGAGTGTTTTGAGACCATTACAATCAGCCTAAAGGGATGGAGATGGCTGAGATCCTTACCGAGAGCTTCTGTTTGATATTCTATTTTGTTTGATATTCAGATATTCTATCTGAATTATTAGTACTGGAGTACTGTGGCCACCCCTATGTGGCAGTCTCCACCATATGAAACAAATGGATCTGTTGGAGCAAATCCAGGGGAGGACCATGAAAATGATCCTCTGTAAAGAAAGTCAGAATTGGGGTTGTTCAGCCTGGAAGAGAGAAGGTTCCAGGGAGATGTTGTTGCAGCATTTCCATATATTAAGGAGGATTATGTGTAAGATAGAGACTCTTTATCAGGGCTTATAGTGACAGGACAGGAGCCAATGGTTTCAAACTGAAAAGAGGGAAGGTTTGGAAAAACTGTGTTCAGAAAAACTGTGGCTGTCCCACCCTTAGAAGTGTTCCAGGCCAGAGTGGATGGGGTTTAAAGCAATCTGATCTAGTGAAAGATGTCTGTACCCATGGTAGGAGTTTGGAATAGATGATCTTTAAAGAGATTTTCCAATCTAAAATATTCTAAACTGTGACACAGCCCTCATCCTGTCCAACAACCATTCCCTGCGCTGCCTCAGGAGAGAATTGTGGTCATGGAAGTTTGGTCCTGAGGCCAAAGGACTGTTTTTACTAGATCTTCTAATCAGATGTCATCATACTTTGAGCTGTTTGAACAAATTCACCAGGAGCTTTCCTGTGAGCTGCTGGTGGATGAGCCCTGGCTCTGTAGGGCTTTCTGCAGGTCACCTACAAACACAACAAAAACAGGAAAATGCAGGGATTCCATGGTAGCACCTGCCTCAGCTATCACCACCACAGGCTGCTGTGTGCTGTCCTATGCTTTTTGCCCTGAGACCCTGACTTTGTCATCTGTGCTCTAATGGGGTAGCTACATAAGTCACTTTTAACATCACATTTTTGAATGATTCACCATGAGATGTTTTATTTCATCTGTGTTAATTTTTGTGATTTGTTTGCCTGTGGCCCCGCTCTTGCTTACATACTCCAAACTGTAGAGCCAAGGAGTTACGTGTGGCTCTCATTTACATGGGGCCACTTCATGAGACCCCAGCATCATCTCTGTCCTTAACTTGGGCTTTCCCTGGTTGCTGCCTCACCCAGCCTGCTCTGTAGATGATACCCTTTCTCCTGCCCGTTTTACTCCTGTCTCAGTTGATAAGCAGAATCTGGGGCATCCTGTTAAGTGTTTTAACATGTGTTTGTTTACCTGCAAGTGTGTGACCAATTGCACATGCTCTAGGGCTTTTTATCTTTTAAAAAAAACACTTTGTGAGAAAACGACCAACTGTTCTGAACCCAAACTGCAGCAGCCTGGAGCTAAACACTACTCATGACTTTTTTTTCCTCAAGTATCAGTTAATAAATTTGGCTGATTTTCCACAATTAACAGATTCATTTTGAATTACTTGAGAGATCTTCTGGGCTAAATCAAGTCTTTTTATTGAAGTGTGCTGTAGATGATATTAATTTTTTCAGACCCAAAACAAATATTCCAAGACAGCTTTTATTTGAGATTCAATAAAAAACATTGGAAATCCAATCCATCACTTATTGCCTGCAGGCATGTTCCTTTGCCTAGATCGACATTAATTTTCTAAAGTGCAGTTCTTGATAGTATTAATGTGATTATCCCACTTTTCTATACAAGAACAGCAATTTGATTCAAAGCATATTTGTAAATGAAATACCATGGCCTTTCACATTTAAAGGTGTTTTCTTTCCAGTGTTGCACAGCTGGATCACACACCTTTTCTCTCAAGTAGGCTCAGAATGTTATCAAGTTTTTCTTCTCTTATTTGTGTCTTTAAGAAGTGAAGAGGGTCTAAAAAAATTCAGGAAGATTTAAACTGAGTGAGTTGTGTCTGTTCTCAGTTATGTCCTGGAGAAATGTCTGGTGCCCTGAGGTACCTCATCAAAGCCCAGCCTTGAGAATATGCATGTCAGCCAGTGCTGGGTTAACATCCCACCTTGTTTCCAGAAACATCCCACCTGTTTCCAGGCAGCCCATGGAAGGCAGGAGGAGGTGTTTACACCTCTGGGCAGTGGGGTCAGGTCACACGATTAGAAATACCAGGTCATGAGCAGAGTGGTGTAAACAGCTCTGTTCCAACGTGAGCAATGTCCCTGTTTCAGCTGCTGAGCTGACTTTCCTGGGATCCCACCGTGTCCTGGCTGTTGGGGGGAGGGTTCAGGCAGGCTTGTGGGCACAGCCTTGAGCAGGAGGACGTGAGAGAAGCTGTGAGTCAGTGATTCCCCACCACAGGGCAGTGCCCCGCTCAGCAGGCCCTCAGAGCTCCCGGGTACAGTGTGCCTGTGTTGCAGGAATGGGGTCAGGGACCCTCTGTAGTGCCCTTGCCGTAGGCACCCGCTCTGCTCCGGGCACTGCTTTAGTCCTGGCGTTCACTGTCTGCTTCCTGCCGAGCCCATGTAGGAATACCAAGGGAATCACCCTGGGCACACCCAAGCGGTGACAGCACGGTGACACTGTGAGCTAGCAGGAACCCCTGTAATTGTAACTTCCCCACAGGGAAGAAGGAAAGCACAAAGTAACTCCAGCTGTTCCCTCCTCCTGGGGCTGCAACAGTGCTGCAGCAGCGATATTCCACCCGGACCTGCAGGAGCCTGAAGTTTTCCAGAGTCACAGAGCTGCTCTCTCCCCCGAACAGAGTGCAGGGAGGTAGAACACTACCCAAGGCAGGCAGTGCAGTACACTACAGAACGCAGGACACTACCCAAGCCTCGGGTCTGCAGTTGTATCTACAGCCTGTAAAATTTAAGGACTGCTGATCTGCAGCCAGGATTTATTGCCCCAGTGCTGAGGAGGAGATTCCTTCCCTTTCAGCACAGCTACTCATGTTGTGCCTCTGGGTGAAATTTGCCACTGTTGCTTCAGGATGTAGTGAAATACTTGAGCACACTCATTTATCTTAAATTTTATCTGATGCTTACATATTCTGTTGGATCCAGACCTGATATCCTACCTTGAAATTCCTCAGCTCCCATAGATTTCTGGTGAAAGATAAGGACATCGAACACTTCAGAAAATTCATCATACCTCAAAGACTTTGTCCCTGCATAGTAGTACTTGGGTTAGCTTCATCATTATCAGCTGTTTGACTCCAGAGATAGAGGGTAGGGCTTCTCAGTGATGAAAAACAAGTTGAAGTGAGGCAGAAAAACCTGTGATAAATTAGTGTGGAGAGCGTTAATGGGGCCAAATGTCCTGAGTTTATTGAATTAGGGAAGTCAAACTAATTTTAAAATTAAGCCTAGAGAGTGGGAGACTAGATACCGTTGGCACAACAGAAAAGTCCTAATGGCTGTTGTCTCAGCACATTAGGAAAACACTGTCAAAGCTCTTGCTGACAAGATGCTTTCTCAGGGATTGTTAATTATATTGCATTATTAGCCAGGCATGGTATGAGAACATATTTAGCATGTTACTAAAATGCAGTGACCATTTAGCTAATAAGTTTGACTTGGTCTTTTAGATTTTCTTAATGATTAGCAACTTAGTAAAACTGTAATGGTGAGAGATGAAAATAATGATTCAACAAGCTGTGTCTCAAGAACAAGTTTTAACTGGAACTTGCATGTAGCAAGGACAGATAAAGTGTACAGTCCTAATTATCAGCCTGATGGGACGAGACAAAAGTAAACATATCGTCAGATTTAACTAACTCTAATGACCCCGTCCTGTGCTGGCATATGGCTAAAGTGCTCTTGTGGTAGTAAAGCCCAGCTTGATCCTTCACTGCAGCCATGGGGAGGACAAAGGGCCAGCAATGCCTTACTCTGCTTATCCCACCCCAGGCTGGAAGGAGAAAACTCCCTTACCTTCCACATGGCAGCTGCTGCAAGGAAACACAGCCTGACGCTCCATTTTCCTTAGGTGCCTCTGGACCCCCAGGCAGCTCTTCTGGGAAGTGTAGTGGTGTAGCTGTGGGCATTGTTAATGCTGTGGGCTTTGTTAAACTGATTTAAGTGCTGAACTACAGTACCTGGACTGGGCTTTCTATTGTTATTCACCAGTGACACAGGAAAACCAGGACTGACTGCTCAGTGTTGATCAGTAAGGCCCCTCACTGCTGAGCTGCTGGGAGAGTCACCAACGCCCCCCAGATCACAGGGAACCCAGCCTGGCTGGGCCCTCAGAGCAGCAGCAAATGTGCTTTGAACCTCACTTCTCCCCAAATGCTCCTCCTGCCCCTTGTGCCTACAGAGGCCCCAGTGCCAGGTTTTAGGCTGCACCAGCACCATGCAAGCAGAGGTGCTTCTCAGTGGTGTGAAGGGGGCAGTGTGGACAGCTGGGCCAGACACTGGCACCCCTCCAGTCAGGGCCCATCCCAGCCCAAAGCCAGCTGCCACCAGCTCCAGGGCTGCCTCCAACCCCAAGGCTCACCTCTGGACCACCTGTTTGAAAGAGATTTAGCTGAGGGCTTGCACAGCTTTTACCACCTGTGGAGCAAATGTGTCCTGTGCGGAAAATAGCTCCCATCTGGCACTGGATGTATGTCTGAGATGTACAGAGGGGGAAAAACAGCAGCACAAGCCATCACATGACATAGATGTTGTTCATCTTTTATCTAACAGACCTAGATAACAATGCTGATAGCAAGAGTCCTCTTTTTTTTCTCCTTTTTGTACATTCAGATAATACATTATATTTAACGTACAGTGAACACAGCCAGTCGAGAGCTTCTGAGCCTGCTGTTGGTCTCACCTGGGGAGACCTGTGTACAGCACACAGCTGGACAGCTCCACACAGACCTGTGCCCCAGCTCTGCTGCTCCCTTCTCCTCCCCAGCCTGGGCTCTGGTTCCAGCAGCTCTGCATGCCCATGTCACACCCAGGTCACCCACCACTGCAGCACATGACAGCACTGACCCAGTTCTCCTCTAGTTAAATCCCAGCAGTCACTCCAGCAAAGCCTTTGGTGCAATCTTACTGCTTCAGTGCACACACCAGGGCCAGGCATTTCTGCCAGTGGGCCTCGTGGCTGCTCTTCCCATCACTTGGAAGTGACCAGAGTGTGCTGTAAGGTTAATACCAAGACAGTAAAGTCTACAAAGGAAAAAAAGTTCAGGCACGTGGAAAGGAGCATGAGCCTCCCCTAAAACCAAACCTATAGCAGCAGTGTGATCCTTCTCAGCCCATCTGTTTTGTGCTTTTCATTATGCTCAATCCTCTGTTACATTTTGGCCACTGCTTCACTAGCAGCTGTGGTGAACACACAGTGACCAAGCAATGCTGGTGTTTCATCTCTAAATAAATAATGCGTTTCTACCCTGAGAAAGTTGCTAAAAAGTAACCTGGTATCACAACAAGGAACATGCAAATCTTAAAAGTCAAGCAGAGAGCAGGCTTTTACAATGGTTCCAAAATATGCCCCCAAAAAAGGAAGCAAAATCCTTGGAGTTTGATTGTGACACATAAAAATGTCCCATAAAGAAGCAAAAGGAGCACAAACAAGGCTATGGAAACAGCATGACCTCCTGCTTGCACACTATCTTGGCTGAAGCACACCCAGCCAGCAAAATGCTAAGTGATGTAAAATGGGGGTTAGGTAAATGGCACCTTCCAGTCAACCTTCCAATATCCATTTCTTCTTTGGGTCATCATTAATTGTTGCTCTGTGAGCAGCCTGAGCCCTCGGCTGGACTGGAGCCTGTGGGTCTTGGGCACTGTGTGAAAGGAAGGTGCAGATGGGGAAGGAGGTGCCCTGGCAATGGTCACACCATGGAAGGGGTGGCAGCAGGGCTCGAGTCTCCTCACATGGAGGCCAAGAGTGCCCAGGCCTTTTGTGTGGTCAGTGTTGTGCTGTGCCTTGTGCTGTAGCAGTGAGAAGGGGGAGAGGAGAGGCTTCCCGGGAGGAAAGAGTGATCTAAATAGTATGGCTGAAATGTAGGAAGTGCCCATCAGCCCAGCCAGTTTCTGAGATTCTCAAAAAAAATACTGCAACTGAGAAATCCTTATGAGATCAGACAGCGTTTCCATAATGCACAGATAGAAAAGCAAGGAAGTACATCCCAACCAGTTCAGGTGGGATCCACCATCTTCCTCTGCAGAAGCAAGAGTAAGGGGGTGTTTGGTCCACCTGTTTTCCTTAGCACCTGGGGTGATCAGTGCTGTGTGCTGGTGGCACAACTGCATGAGCAGTTGGATTTTAAAGGCACCATGTCACTCAGCAGAATGAAGCAGAGAGATGGGGATAAAAAAGTGAAAACATGAGGCTGCAGCCTCAGCCAGCCCCTCTTTCCTTCATTTCAGCTAAGAGACAGCCCTGCTCAATCCTGTCTGGTTAGATCACAGTCCCACTGGGCTCTTCCAGCAGGGCATTGAGATGGACATGTATCATACTCCTCCTGTCCTTTCCCTAGCTCTTCCTGCAGCCCAGTTGTCCCAAGTGTCTCAGAGTAAAATTCCAGGTTAGCACCTGTGGCTGAGAGGTGTGAACCACAGCAGCCAGAAGGAATCCGATGGATGGGTCCTCCTGGTCTGCCAGCTGCAAGGTTTTTGTGAAATGAGACTTTTGCCCAACATTCTTCCCATGGTGCCTGAAGGAGGTGCATGCCCAGTCCCTCCTTTCTGGGTGCATGGGATATCTATGCCTCCTCGCTGCGTCGCAGGTCTTGCAGCTCAGTCATGGCTTTGGCCGAGAGCTTCTTGCGGCGGAACACGGCTGCAATCTCCTCAAAGGACTTTCCCTTCGTCTCCGGCACTTTGAAGTGTGCAAACAGGAAGAAGATGAGGAGCAGACCCGCGAAGATTGCAAACACGTATGGTCCACACAGATCCTGCAGTGGGAAAGGGAGAACAGGGAGACCACCATCAGCACCACAGGCATGGTTTCCCCTTCCTACCCAGCTGGCTGAGGTGTGCCCAGCCAGACTAGGGTATGGAAATCTGGGAGGCACATTCACATGGAATTGTGCCAGTCATTTATTTGTATGGGTTAAGGGATTTCTTACTGCTATGTACTGGAAGCACATTCCCACGATGAAGTTGCAGGCCCAGTTGCAGAAGCCGGCGACAGCGATGGCGGCAGGGCGCGGGCCCTGGCTGAACAGCTCGGCTACGATAAACCAGGGGATGGGCCCAGGCCCCACTTCGAAGAAGATGACGAAGAGGAAGATTGCGACCATGCTGACATAGCTCATCCAGGCAAACTTGCTCTGCAAGAGGTTGGTGTTATAGTCCCCAAGTAACTATCATTAATTATCACTAATTACTTTATTTAGGTTTGTTTTTCAGAAATTTCTTTCTATTCAGACAAAGGAGGACTGGACATGAATAATTAAGGTTTTAAACTCTTGTGCCAGGTGCTGGCTGAGCATGTGGCACCAGCATTGCTGCCTGGAGGAGTTCGCAGCCATCAGCTCAGCTGTTACTTTGAGCCCTCTCCTTGCCTGCAGCTCAGCAAAATGAGGCAGAATGGCACCCTTTAATAACCAGGTTGTCCAGCAAATGAGGCCACTCCTTATTTGCTTTTTCATCTTGACAGGGCTTGCAGCAATAGTTTGGACTGATTTTGATGGGATCTTCTCTTGTTTTCAAACCAGGGAGAAAAAATAGAGAGAAATCCTTACCAGGAGCACAAGCCCAACTGTCATGGCCACGGCGCTGACTAACATGCCCATCAAACCTGCCAGGAACAGGGACCTCCTGCCCGCCTTCTCCACCAGAAAGACCTGTAGAAACACATGCAGAAGCTCAGTGTCCAGCACCACCACTCTCCGGATCAGGTCCATAAGCAATAACCAACCTGTTACCACTGCCACACTTTTGCTCTTTTGTTCTTTTGCTCTTTTAGCTCTAGTGGTACAGATTTATGTGCTGGTTTCCAAGTGTCAGAAACTCTGCTGGCAGCTGCTGGGGAGCCTGACTGAGCTTTCACCCTGCCAAGGGCAAGGCAAAGGCACACACACTCAGAGCCCATGCATTTCCAAGCTCTCAGGACTTCCCACTGCTCCTACACATTGCTGACTATGGACTTTCTCTTTCCCTTTTCTTTTTTTCTTCCAGAAACTAAAAACTTACTAGGTCTGCATTAGTTTGAAATCAGGCTTCAGAATGTAGCACAATTCAGGTCACATCACGGGCCATTGCCTGTCCTAAGGCAGGGATAGTTGTGTAGCAGCAGCAGTCAGGATTTTTCCTCCAATCACTCCCAGACTTTTTTTGCTTCACTGGTAGTCACAAAGCTTAGTTTGCTCCTTCTCAGCTCCTCTTGGTGGACTCCAGCCATGTCACCCAGCTTTTGAGAGATACCTAAGTCTGTACCAGACACCTCACACGATGGGGAGCTGTAGGTCCCTCCAGAGGACCGTGCAGGTGTCCTGGCCTAACCATGCAGCAGGTTAGGCTGCCTGCTCCTTCCCCTCTGCTTGAAAGGACACCTGTGGCCAGCAGCCCCCCCTTTGCTGCCATTACAGCCATGATTTACACTTCCCAGAGACCGTCTCTGTTGCTGAGGGCGGTTCATGTGCTGACATGTGAAGTTGCAGAGGATGAGTCTCTGCTCCCTTCTCCCCTTGCCAAGGTCCACCCAGCTCTCAGCACTTCTGCCTTTTGATCGGGGTCTGTCATTTATTGACAAAAGCAGGTAATTTTTAAGTGCTCGTGGACAAAAGAAGCAAAGAGCAAATGCCCAAGGCTGCAAGTACCACAGCCCTGGGGATCGAGCTGCAGGGCACCCTCCATGCTGAAGAAAGGCTTCTTCCAGCTGCACACCTCTATGCCTCATTTCACAATAAATATAATTCTCCTACAATTGACTTTCTCTAAGGCAGGTTTACTCTAAGATGTCCTCTCTCACACATACTGGAGTACACATGGTTTAGGTTGGAAGGGACTTTAAAGATCATCCAATTTCAACCCCCTGTCATAGGCAGGGACACCTTCCACAAGACCAAGCCTAGCCATGGACAGTTCAGGGATGAGGAATCCACAACCTCTTTAAGAAACCTGTGACAATGCCTCACCACCCTCACAGACAAGAATTTCTTTCTAATATCTAATCAAATCCTCCTCTCTTTCAGTTTAAAATTGTCTCCATGTCCTAAATCTCTTGGAGCTGTGTATTTCTGCCTTGCAGCCAGTCCTGCATCATGTTGGTGAAAGTTCTTTACTCCCTAAATCTCTAGAGAGATATGAGGGAAATAGGCCTGGCATTTCCTGATCTTATATTAATGGCCACATTATAAAACTAATTGCCAGCTGATAGGAATTGTGTTAATCCGCTCAAGAGAGAGACAAATGAAGGGGAGGTCTGTGGAAACAGAACCATCCTTTTATTGCTGCAGAGCCCTGTGTAGATAGGATGAGGATAGGTGCTGGATTACTTTTATTGCTGTGGAATAGCCTTTGGATATCACTCGTGCAGGTGCTATGTACATACAGAAAACAGTTTGAAAGATAACAGGTAAGAGCAGACTGGGAGCTGGTGACTTCCCCATCAGAGCCTGCTTCCTGGGGAAATAGGACCTGCAGAATTGCAGACTCAAGGGCAACTTTTCCTTTAGGGGGGAAATGCAGAGTTTTCAGAGCTTCCCTGAACACAGTGGTGCAGTTTCCACTCACGAGGCATTTAGCAGTGCAGATCAATAGCCACATGCTCTATGTCAAGGCTTGAATTTTCAAATGCAACTTTCCCAGGGAATGATTTTTTCCCAGGGTCAGTCCTGCAACACTGCAAATCCCAGCTCCAGGATAAAATCATGTTTCAAAACCACGTTGTACCTTATGTGTCTTTGTAGTCCAGGGGGCAGAAGTATTTACTTACAGAGATAACAGTGAAGACCGTGTTCACCACTCCGACACCGATGGTTGCATAAACTGGTTGGTCAACCCCAGCTCTCTCGAAAATGTTTGTGGAGTAGTAAAAGATCTATCAGAATACATCAGGATGAAGGATTAGGCAACAAGGCTGTTGAAACTTTTTGTTCACATGAGGGAAGAGTTGCACTTGCTTGGCTGAGATGTGGCGCAATTTAATTATGATTAATTTTTCAACTTTTAATGGCTTGTTATAATGATTAAAGCTGAAAATTTCATAGGAGCCTGAGGGAGTTAAAAATCCTGTTGAAATTCTCCTCTTGAACTACTGCATTTGCACATTAAATCTGTTTTCTTCTGTCTAGTCTGTTTAATCTTAAAATCCAGATCACCAGCACTGAGCACTCAAAACAAATATCTTACTGTGACCAAGTTTTACATTAATTTTAAATTATTCTCATTGCAATGACTAATTTCTTTCTTCTCTCCAAGAATAAGGTGATTCCTTTCTAGTGAAAGTTAAGGGCAGGAGGTAAAGGGTGCCTGGTGGATGGGATGGGCCTGGAGCCAGGTAGGCTGGGCATCCCTATGTGCTCCTTCATGCTTCTGGGTGTCAGATGGATTTCTGGTATTCCAGGAGGTGATGCAAAAGTTGTTTAGTTAAAAATGGCTATAAAATAGTGATTCTGGAGTGAGCATGATGTCATAAAAGAGAGCAAATTGCTGGGCCAGCAAATGGGCCTGCTGTGCCAGCTGCTTTTGTGCTGGACTCCCTCCCACCCTTCTCCCCTCCTGCTTGGCAGGGACCCAGGAGCCCACTGTGACCATGGGAGAGCCTTCTTCCATCCCTGCATGGCTTGGGTGGAGCCAGAGCTGCCTTTTCATGCTCAGCATGGATCTCTTGAGAGACAGACATTTTGGGGAGACTCACCGCATTGATTCCCGAGAACTGCTGGGATATTTGCACCATCAGCGCCACGATGACAGCCTGCCTGTACTTGGAAGAGGTGAAAAGCTGTCTTATGGAGACTTTCTTTTCACTAGCAGCTTCTTGCTTTTCCTTTTCCATCTCTTCAATCTCTTTCATTGGATCACAGTTTCCTCTAAGCCTTTTCAAATCTTAGGGAAAAAAAAAAAAGATTGACATTTTATTTTCAGTGGTAGGTAAGTTGTATATGTAAGGACAAGAATCTCTTTAGGCAAAACTCAAGGTGAGCCAAGGATCCAGGGTGCATCTGCTCAGTCAGGGGCAGCAGCACATCAGCTCTGCAACAGCCCTGAGATCACTCTCAATCCTCATCCCTCAGCAGGGCTGCTTAGTCCCATGCAAATGTCTCAATAGTTTTTGATCCAGCACTATTTTGTATCTCAGAAGCTCAGAGCATAAGATGGAGCAACCACAGTCATATGTGAATCCTCAGACAGGCTTTTTTTTCTCTGTTTTGTACTGTAAAAAGTATAAAAACAACTCTAGGCAAGCCCAGAATGTTTTTCTTACTTTTTTTAGCTTCCTCCACCTTCCCCAGTTTGATGTAAAGGTATCGGGGGCTCTCAGGGCACAGTAAGAGCAGGAAGAACTGCAGCAGGGCAGCCACACCAGACAGACCAAGGAGCAGGGGCCACATCACGTCATTGCCCAGAAGAAAGTCTAGTCCAAGGATCTGGAATAATTGAGGCATATTTAAATGGATCATTTTGCGCACTAAGAAGAGAAAGCACTTGATCACTGTGGTGTTTTGAAGTGAAAAGCTGGGGGACAACTAAAAGCAAATGCCATCTATTTTTCTGGATGTGTTTGTTTTCTGTACATTTATGTGCCCACCTTTGTGTAGCTGGGACTTGTGCCATGGTTAGCAATGCTGATGAGGGCTTTGGGCTCCCTACTTCCCTGATGAAGCCATTTTTGAGAACCTGATTATCAGGGGTCTCATGCTCAGGATCCAGCCTGACACTGATGAGATGCTGAAAAAAATTCTTCAGGGAGAGGAGAAATTGTTTGCAGAAGTATTTTTTTATTTCTTGAGAAGTTGTCTTTGTTAATACAACTCTTACTGAAGGCAGGGATTTAACCCCATTAAAACAGATTGTTTTGCACACTCCTTCAGTTTTGGGGTGGAATGGTGAACAATAGCCCAGTATATCACTATGGTCTTCCTATTCTCTGAAGCAGCCTCTCTGGATGTGCGTGTTTTCCTGCTTACCTGGCTGAAGAGGATGCCCGTGACGATTGCGAGCTGGTGCAGCGTCCCCAGCGCTCCTCGCAGGGCCGTGGGAGAGACCTCGCTGACATACATGGGCACGAGTCCAGAGGAGAGCCCTGCACCGAGCACACGTGGCTGTCACCTCTTCCAGACACAGCTCAGCAACAGCAGAAAGCACTTCCCAAATGGGAAAGGAGGATGGAGCCGTGTGCTGCACCCCACACCCCACCAAGCCCCTCACGCCTGGCTGGGAACCACCTGCACTTTGGGAAGGTGCTGGGATGTCCCTGCATTCAGAGCCCCAAACTGGGAAGCCTTTTTACTTGAACACACACATCAGAGCATGGAGCAGGAATTACCTGCTGAAGTTATCACAGGTTAAAGAGCCTTCTTAAAACTTGCCTTGAAACCTCAGAGTGGAGTATTGTATTTGCATACCAGTAATGGTACAAAGAGCTGTTATTCCCAAGCTAATTCTAATGTAATTCACAATTATTTGCTGGCTTTATCCTCTTTGTGCACATTGGTCCTGTGGTCTCTGTCTAGGGAACATGTTAACCAGCCTGGCTTGTGGTGTGCTCTTGCAGCAGCCACCAGCAAGACCCATCCTTGATATACAGAGGGACCTGCTCCTTTCAGGATGAGTAAAATGAAGATATGATAGAGCTAATGCAAACACTTCTGGGAAAGATCCTAGATCAAGAATGGCAGACATAGGGAGAAGAGGGAAATTCCCAGCTGTGAAAGCCCTTCTGAACTAAGAAAAGGATTAAAAAATCTGGGAAACTCTGAGCTGCAGCCCTGGACAGGCTAGCAGGGAGCTGCTTTCAGCCTGGACTCACCGCAGTACAGCCCCGTGACCGCTCTCCCGGAGATGATGAGGATGTGGGATGGCCCAAATTTCGCCAGCCCCATGAGGAGGTTCCCAGCAATGGAGAGGACATTCACCACCAGCATGGCTTTCACTCTGCAAGGCAGCAGCAGCACAGCTCCTCTGGCACCTCTCTCAGCCAAAGCAGCCATTGCAACACACAAGAGGAACTGTGAAGTCACTTAATCAGTACTACAGGGGAAAAACAATGATAGCAGGCACTGCAAAATACAGGGACCGGGGTACAATCAGAGTAGTTAAAATTATATTATAAATGATACTTTACATCCTGTGCAAATACCATGCAGATGTCCTTCTCTTCCTTTTGCCATAGAAAGAGAAGGGGGAATTCAGAGCTTAATGAAGGCTGCTCATGAGCTGCTCTCTGAAATGCTCAAGTTGCAATAAAATGTCTGAATTGTAACTGAGGATTATGAAAACCCCAACCTCTGTGATGGTTTAAACAGCATTTTGGAAGTTGGGAGGGTTATTTTTCCTTGCTTTCCTAAATTGCTGAAAATAACACAAATGATATTTCTACAGGGTGGAAATGGTTCTATGAGAAAAAATCAATGAGAAGGGTTTGTGCTGTGGCCCCGAGTCAGAGCACACTGGAGCCTCTCACCTCCCGAGCCGGTCGCCGATCCAGCCCACGGTGAAGGAGGAGACCATGCCCCCGATGGCGAACACAGACACGGACAGGGACCAGTACATGGTCAGGATGTGTGGGGAGGCAGCAAGGTCCTCGCTGGTGTCAGCTGGGGGTGGGAGTGTGCCCTCTGTGCCAGCCTGGAGGAACGTGCCATCCTCCCCAGAGGCATTGGCAGCATATCTGTCCGGGGAAACAATGCCCAGCACGCGTGCGTAGTGTGCTTCTATCACCTGTGACAGGTAAAAAAGAAACACGCCATCAGCTGAGATCTATAACCACCCCAACCCCTGTTTTGGATTTTATTCTGCCTCAGAAAAAGATTTGCATTGCAGGCTCTGCAGGAGTAAAATCCTGGGGTACCCCAGCTCCATAACACCCAGATCCCAGTGGGGAGGGGCCATGAGGGCAGGCACAAAGCATTCCCCCCTCCTGGGGCTGGGCTGAGCTGCTGTTTGGATTTGGCACTGGATTTGGTGGAGGGGTGCAGTCCCTTGGCTCGGGCACAGGGACCGTGTTGCAGTGGGGACAGCTCCATTATGTGCAGAACCCCACTTCTTTCCCTGGGGAAGTGCCAGCAGAGGGTCCTGGTTGTTCTCACCCCACTGCCCTGTCCCCTGTTCTGTGGGAGAAACTGCCTGGGAAGGGACAGAGTCTTCCTGAGGGCTTCTGCAAGGGACAAACTGGCCCTGGCTGCCCTGAAGCCATAGTTCCTTGGCCATGCACAGCTTGAGGGGCTCAACTTACCTTCTGGGGGGCATTAATGACCCCCAGGCTGTAGCCATACTGGAAGAAGCCCAACACCGCAGTGAAGACAGAGAGGATCAATGTTCCCGTGAGGTGCTGGAAGCAAACAACAACCTCATCATACTGTCCTAGCAGTGCCAGAACTGGGGGAGGGCTGCATCCCACCCCTGTCCCAGGGGACCCTGCTGCCCAGCTGGCTGGGACAGTGGCATCCAGGGATGCTGCTGCAGCAGTGCAGGTGCTTGGCTTGCTCCAGAGGAGAAGGAAAGCCCATGGGGACAGGCAAGATCAGGTCCCCAGTGCAGAGTGGTGTTGCCCCACAATGACAGTCCTGCTCTCCCCACTGCACTGCCTGTCCTGGCCCTGGAGCTCACGGGAGCCAAAGCTCTGCCCACTATAGAGGTGCAAGAAGCAGCAGCAGGGTCTCATTCCCCATCATTGGAGTAAAACAGCTTGGAAAAAAACACCAAAAGCGTGTTTTTCAGCAGCACTGTTTAAAGCATTTCTTCCTCCCATCACAGTTAAAGTTATCCAGTGAGCGAACAGTGCTCTTAAAAATAAAAACAGCCCCTTGGCCCTTTTCCCCTTTGCCCCTGTGCACAATTAATTAGAGGGGACTTTTTTTTTATTGGTTTCAGTTTCGGCAAGGGATTGCTCAGTGCTGGGGTCCTGCAGAAATTCTGATAATTTCACTGGAAAGTCTAGTGCAAGAATACCAGCAAGCCATGATTACCTTCTCTGTCTGCATCTTCCTTTTGTCATCCATCCCACAGCTCCTCCGCTCTCCTTCTGGGAACAGTCACTGTCCTGGGCTGCAGAGCAAGGTGAGGGCTTGGACAGCAGATCTGGGATGGAGGCAGGAAAATGGGCTGGTGCTTGGAGAGATGGGACTATATCAACTCTGGAGTTAATGAGAAACCCAAGTCTTCCACGCATTATTTGGCCACCGCTCAGCTCAAGCAGCCACCACCAATCCCCGTGTTGGGGACACACACGAAACAATGAGAGACCTGTAAAGACATAGAGTGGATCTGGAAAATTCAAATGATTTGGGGCTGTCCCTCAGCTGAACAGTTGGAATGTGACGTGCCAGGGGCTTGAGCCTGTTTTGAGATGCTCAACACCCACCTCAGCTTTTGTGCTGGGCGTGCATGTCACATCACAATCCTCTTGCTGAATGAGGGAGAAGAAACCTCTCCAGCACATGTAGCAAAGCAGCTAGAAAATGACTAAGAGTTTTATTTTAATAGCACTTAGCACCTGCTTTAAAATATATTCATGTGTGTATATCACATAGAGAGCCACATATAAACACAGATGTATACAGGTCTCTCTGTGTATCCATACAGACACCTGCATACACAGAGTCCCCTCAGCAGGCAGCTCTAATGCTATCAGAGATAGCTGTGTGTGCATATGGATATAGAACACAACAAAATTACCCAGAATATACATTAAAAGAGGTTTTCATTAAAAATCCTACAGTGGTGTGAACAGTGAGCCTTTCAGCACCACCAGCTGATGGCTGTGCTGTCAAATATTGTGGATTCTGGGTAATACTGCCAATGCTGCCAAATACTTCTGATGCTGCCAAATATTTTTGCGTTAGCTCACTCAGCTTTCACGGACTTTGCACATCTGCACAAGCTGGTCTGAGCTGGTCTTGCTCGGGCTTGGGATCTGCTGTCCTTGACATGGTCAGAGAGAGGAGCTGCAGGGCCGGGGTGGGGGGATACAGTGGCATCCTTAGCGGCAGCAGACAGTGCCAAAGCCTGAGTCAGCCGGGAAGGTGATTAATGCTGATTAAAGTCATTATCTTCCAGATCAGCCCCTGATGGGTTCAGCAGCCAAGCTACAGCACTCATTGGATGATGCTCTCAGTCAGCCAGGCTTCACATGGGCACAAAATGTACTTTCTACAGAGGAAGAGCAAGAGGAAAAACAACAAAGATGAGTGTAAGACCACTAATCTTTGCACTGGTCTCCAGAAAGGTAAAACTTTAACTGGGAGAGGAAAGTTCATTACATTAAGCAGGCTTTGATTCCAGCCACAGCACCTGCATTCCCCTCTAGGGCTGGTGTAGATGTGACAGGAAGGGCCCCAAGGCTGAGCTTTTTAGTTTTCCCCAATATTTGTCCTTCCTGCTGAGATCTTTGCCAATGGTGTTTGTTTGCTCGCTGTGTGTGGATACCCAGGCATTTACAAGCAGTTTCTTTACATTGCAGTTAAATACCTTCACAATGGGACTGTCAGGATTTGACAATTACCAGGCTGCTAAGGTTTGAAACAGAAAACAAATGGGGGCCCTGACCCAAGACCAAACCTTCAGGCACCGTGAAAACCCTGCCAGGACACGTGTCCCCCTCCAGGATTCCCCTGTACCCCTCACGGGTCCCTATCCTGTTGCAGGTGCCTGGCACAAAGAGCTTTCCCTCCCTATTCTTCCCAGTGGAAGGATCAAACGCCACCAACAAAGCATGAGCAGGGTGGCCTTTCCATGTCCTGCCCACTGCTGCTTAGAGCAGAGCCCTGCAGGAATCCAGCTTCCTGGGGATGGGGTGTGGAGCAGCTGGACAGTGCTGGGAGGCTGGGTGAGCATCACTCACCTCCCCAGGAGCTGCCCTTCCACTTCCATGGAAGCTTTGGATGCCAAAGGATGGAGGCCCCACAGCCACACGCATCCCTTGGCCAGGCCTGCTGGCAAAAGGCATGGAGTTATCCTGGGCTTTTCCCACCCCTCCCTGGGCCCTCTTACCCTCCCTGCCAGGCAATATGCTGCAACCCAGTGCCAGGGCTGCCTCACCTCTGCCTCTGAGGGGGTGCCAGCTGTGCTGTGACACACTCCTCCTCAGCTTGGCCCCAGGCAATTTAGTATTTAACATACTGAACTCTCAGTGGCACTAACAGAGTCCAGACTCAGTGATTCTCTGAACAGGGAGCTGGATGTGGATGTGGTGACTAGCAGAGGCCAGCTTTAGGCTGGTCCTGAGGCTCATGGGTAGGAAAGGTTGGTGTGTAAATCTTCCTCTCACTGCAGTCACTTTCCAAAGGGGCTGATTGTTAGCTTGGTAGAGAGAAGCAGATTCGTACAGGATAAAGAAGCAGGCCTGGCTCCACCAGGGTCAATGACTTACCATCAAATCTCTTGCACACCTGACAGCCATTTGTGATCACAGGCCAGAGGGTCCAGAGAGTGGCACAGCACAGCCCAAAGCAACACTGACCCATCCCACGGCTGGCGAGCCTGGCCAGGCAGTGTTTAGGTGATGGGCAAACAGCAGGGTCTGCATTATTGCTAATGCTTTAGTTAAATAATAAAGTGCAAGAACTGTGCATAATGTTAGACAGCATTGCCACGCTTATTGCCTGCTCTGTGTTGTGTGTAGAGTAATTGGTGGTGTTGATAATCTAACTATGTGTGATAAAAGCAATGGGCTTGAGTTTATGGTGGGGCTCTGCTTTGGAACAGCTGGGCATGCTTGTCACCTCAGTGGAAGGAATTCAAAGATTCCAGAGGGGCTGTGAGGCTGTACCCAGGTGCTGGGGCAATTTGCACATCCATTTTACTGCTCTGGGTCATTCAGAGACAGCTTTGATGTTAAAAAAAAACTGAAAAGTATGCCATAAACCAAAACAAAACGAAGGAAAAAAGGTAGATCTGGTCTGTAAGACATGGGCTCTCAAAGAGAGGCTGATGTAGCACATCAGTGTCTGGCACAAAACCAAAATTATGCTCTTTCATTTCTCCTCTCTAAGCGCATCAGCTGGGGCAGGCAGCACTGCTGAGGCTACATGAGAGACAGCAGCTGAGGCTGATAAAACCCATTTAGGAGAGAGAATTTGGTGCATTTACAGCACTGCTGTAAAGATACCAGAGGTTAATGAGCCCCTTCCCACCCCCAGCTCTGGGTGCTGCAGCATCTCCCAGAAGAGAAAAACTGGAAAGCAAACCCAGCAAAGCTCTCCAGCTGCAGGTCCCACAGGGCAGGGCAGGATGCTGCAGGGCAGCAGTGGCTGTGGCAGGTGTCCTGTGCCAGGAAATGCATCCTGATTGCTGAGGAATCTCTGCTGGATCTGCTCAGAGCCCTGCCAGGTGGGTGGCTTAGCCCAGACACGGGCAGGGTGTGACACAGAGCTCCACCCACACCTTTGGAACAAGCAGGTTCAGTCCCTGCTGCCCTGCACGATGCCCACGCTGGCCCCAATTACAGAGCATCAAATTGTGCACGAGCAGGAAAAGACCTTGAGTGGGCTCACATTGAGACAATGATCTGCAGTTTAACTTCAACCATTTCCACCACCAGTCCAGCTCTGGGGCTGGGGCCAGGGTCACCTCAGGCATCCCTGTTATCCCAAAATATGTAGTGTCAACCCCCAAATCACCTCACAACAAGAAAAAGGCCATTTGATAATAATTCTGAGACAGGTTTGAAAAGATTCAGTTCTCACAAGTAGCTGCTACAGCCTTACCTCTGAGCATCCTTCCCCTGGCAGAGGTACCCAGCATCTCCTCAGGGTGGTGGAGCCAACCATGGCCCTTGCATGGCCTCATGCCAGCTCTCAGGGCTTTTCTTCCATTTACCATGACTCATCTGTTGTGGTGTGTTGCAATGTCCTGTCATATTCCAATACTCATCTTTGAGTTATACAATTTCATAGCAACTCTGTAAATAATTGAATCTGCAACAGGCTCAAGTGACCCCTGCATGCACAGACATTACTGCTTTTTCCTCCTGTGGCACTGCACAACTGAACAAATTTCCTTTCCTGGGCAAAAAGTCCCAGAAACAGGATTTTAAAATGAGCTGCAGGTTTTATTTCTTAAAACACTACTAATAAGCAGTTTCTGAGGGTATTAATCAACCATAAGCACATTTTACTTTCAGTAAAAAAGCAAATCGAAGTTAGTAACATTTGGAGGGGAAATGTCTTTATAATAACCATGGGTTGATTTTGTAGAAGAGGAGTTTTCAGATGGTGATGGTCCATCAAGACATCCCTTGGCCACTGCTCACTGCTGGGCAGCATCACAAAGGACATGTCCCACCTCCTCACACTCATCCTGTTCCAAAACCACCTTCCCAAGAGTCTCCAGACAAAGAGCATTGTGACTGGGAGCCCTGAAAATCCCCATTACCTCCATGTCCTCCAACACCCCAGGTTTATTTATCCAAACATAAAAGGCATGGCTTAATGGTGAAGTTTTGTGTTTTATTGTGGTTGGCACCAGAAAAGCATTTGCTCTGTGTTATCTCCATACACACATGCCATAGACAAGACTGTGGTAATACTGGCTTCTGTGATTTTTGTTTCAAATTATTCTGAGATTTAAAAAAATACATTCACAAACCACCTGAGTCGTTTAAACTCAATGACTGCCTGCTATTTCATCACTGTATGCAAAAACCCATAATAACAAAAATCATCCAAAGCTGTGCATTTGTCACTTGAAGTAGAACAAAAAACACCCCAAAACAGTTATCAGTTTGCAACACAATAAAAGCTCTGGGCTTTATTTGATTTTTATTTTAACCACAATGAAAATACAAAGAGCTGGTGGCAATCAGTGTTTGTGATGGGATTTCAATACCAGTATTTGATCCTGTGGCCATCCCTACACTCTCCAGGCTGCACCAGCCCAACAGGAGGGTGTCTGGTGCTCAAAGGAGGCACCACAAAGCACATCCCACCTGTTTTTCCCTGAACTCCACATCCTGGGAGTCCCACTGCTGGCAATCCCTGCGGTACCAAACCCTGACACCGTGCCCACAAAACGCTTCAGGTGAGGGTGGCCCGGCCCATCCCATCCCTGCCAGCCCACATCACCTCTTACCCTCGATAAAGATTCAAGTGTGACCAAGTCCTGTTGATTTAATCATTTTTTAATAAAGCCATCGTTACTGAGTACACCAAGATTGCCAGTTAAGCTCTCTATATGTCGCTGGAGGTAACAGCGCTGTGATCGACAGCGGAACGGAAAAAAAATAAAACGAAACCAAACCAAAAAACAAACCCCAACCGAAACGAGGTAGGTTAAAACCAGCAACACAGACCTTGTTATGCGACACCCCAACACCACAGGCGGCCATGCTTGCAGCTACTGAGAAAGAAAACCCCAGATACGCAC